ACTTTACGCAGACCCTTGGTGACAGCGTCGCCCTTGTTGAGCTCTGAGAAGACAGCTCCGAATCCACCAGATGATGCAGGCGCAGGAGCATCATCTGTCTTGATATCAAGAACAGGGGGAGGGCCAGGAGGAGGGGGAGGAGGGGGAGGGGGAGGAGCACCACCAGCAGCAGGTGCCAGAGCAGTGGGAACGGAAGTAGGCGCAGAACCAGCAGACAATGACTTGAGAACTTCCTGAGCAGGTTGGCCATTCGAATTCCATGGAATGCCTGTTGGGAAGTATTGCTTGACATAATCGGCAAGATCGCGGAACATCTGATAGAAGCTCTGAACCCATTCGATCTGCTTGGGGTCCCTGATAGTATGGTTAAAGCTGATCCGCTCAAGCCAAGTGACTTACTTACTTATCCTTCTGCTCCTTTAGAACTCTGTTCCCAAAGAATTGAGCCGAGCCAAGGCACTCGTCCACGTGCTTATAGGGGCGAGTGTCAATGGTAACCCATGCGAGAACCATGATACCATCAGAGACAGTGCTGAGTTGCGTGTACATAGGGCTAGGACGGTTGGCGTCTTTGAGCTCGGTAACAGCCATCAGTGCCTCGTTGATGGGTTTGATGAGGCTCTCATATACCGGCAGATCAGGTCCGGAGAGGTTTGGCTTCTTCGCCTTTGTGGAAATCAGCAGAAACTTGCGCTGCTCTTGAAAACCAGATTTGACGAGCGCAGCCTAGTTATATACCATGATTAGTCTCTGCCCGTAGAAGGCTTTGAGTATTCATAATCCTTCAGATGGTTGCGCGTACCTGCTCAGCAACCAATCCTCCTAGCTGGTGGCTCAACTTCACATATTTATCAACGGAAGTGTTTAGGAAAGCATCGAATTCCTCGATAGATTCTGGCAGCGGCTCGGCGACAGATTCGGGCTTCGCGGCAGCGGGAGTAGTGGCCTTGGAGTCGGAGACGGCTGGAGGAGGAGGAGCGGCTAAGGAGGGGTTCGGAGGTGAAGGTATCGCCTGGTTGAGAACGGTGGCATCGGCAGGAGGCTCGGTCGAAGAAGCGATATCTTCGAGGCGCGAAGTTGCAGCTTCAAGCCTGGATGGCATTTATCAGCGTCTGCACATCTTGGACTGACAATGCAACGAGCGTAAAGAGCTTACCTCTTGATGAGCGTGGTTAAGTTGTGCATCTGACTGTTAGCAGCCATGTTGGATAATCGGCGGTTGGGTTGTTATTTGGTCGAGGTGCCGGACTGAAAGCGTTCTGCTGAAAACACAATAAGGAGAAGATATGCTTAGGCCCCTGAAGGAATGGTTGATCGGGTGTCAGCGGCGTGCTCAGGCAACAGGATAGTTGCTTTGTACTGATTGCGCAAAACGGAACTTGGAGTAGCTTTCAACTTATAGGTCGCAGGTTCCTGGCTAATGCCACGCAAAATCGCAAGAAAAAGAACAGAAGCTTAGTGATTGACTGAATCAATGCTGTTCCTTTCGCTAGGTATGCATTCAAGAGAAAGTAATCAACAGACAATTGCCAGGTAGGGGAGGTAGGTAGGTAGGTAGGTAGATATTGAAAACGAGACGAGGTGAGGTGATTGGAGCTCGGTCCAGGAGGTTCAAGATCCAAATAGGGATGGATGACTACTAACTACTAGGTAGGTACCTACCTTAGGTACCTACTATTCTAGATAGGGACAGGGGAAGCAGTACGTAGTATACGACAAGTATACTTTACGCTAGGCGCCTCGAGTGACGTGGGGACGTGTACTGTTTAAGTATATTCCACAAATCGGTCAAGCTCCAAAAGACGTGGCTAACCTAACCTAGAGGGGCATGACAAGACTTGAACACCTCCCAAGCTGGATAAGGATCGCAACAGCTTGCCTTTGGTACGGATACATAGGGAGAAATTCCATCAACGCCGGAACCGGGCAATGTAGCGCCGTAGACCTTCTATATAAATAAATGGGTTACTTAGACCAGTTTATGGCTGACTCGAGCCTAAGTCCCGATACAAATGTGCTTTGTTCTCATTATTCTAAAATCGCTATAGCCTATCCTCATTTTATAATATAGTTTGTGATGTAGTATACCCAATGTTTCGTTTCATTCATAGACGTTTGCGAAATTCGCGGAGACGGTCCTCAACATTATGTCCATTCCAGGCCTCGCGGCCTTCAGCATCTCTACCAATCGTTGGAACACCGACCTGCTCAATGGCGAAGCTTGCGGCAACAGTGGCACAAGCTACAGCGTCCTCAAGGCTCTCGCCTCGGGCCAGAGCCACACCGAGGCCGCCTAAGAAGGTATTCCCACCTCCCGTAGGATCAACCACTTTGGATGGGTCAGTGTGATAGGCGGGAACCCATTTCTCGACACCAGGATCGACCTCGATCTCTTCGCGAGCCACAATCCCATCAGCATCTTGGAGAAGGCCGGCAAACAAAGCCTCCATATCCGTGTCTGGCTGAAGGCCACCCCTAACATAATCTTTCTTTCGTCGCTTGGTCGTCTTGGGGTCACGGCCTCGCTTTCTTCCTCCATTCTTCGCGATGTAGCATCCCTTCTCGCCAGCACGGATGACAAGAGAGAATGACTGTAGAGGCATGCTTGCGAGAAGCTGCTCGCAGGCTCTTTCTACAGCAATGGTAGAGATCTCACCTGTTTCTGGATCAAGTCCACTGTCACCCATGAACCCAGCCAATTCTGCATGGTTCGGGCTGCAGATATCGACAAGAGGTAAGCAGTTGGTGCAATTGAGCAACTCGTCAGGGGTACACAGATCAGGCACAGGCTCCCAGATGAAGATGGGCTTGGTATATGTCTCAGGAGCCATGACCTTCTTTCGAAGTGAGGTGATCTCGGAGACAAGATCCCTACATCGATTTGGGGAGCATATCAGGTGGAAGGACCGTGATTTAAGCAGTGATGGTGTCAGATCCTGAGCAGTCAAGCGCTTCTTGGGAGTCAGGTATCTGAAAGCTCGCTTCTCGGTAGTGCCTTCATAGCCGTTCCAGCCTCGTGTGGTCAAGCGAAGCCCGTCATGACGGAACAGAGCCGAGGTGGACCAGCTATCGATGAGCGTAGAGAGAGAGGGCGGGAAATCTGAGCCCTGATCGACAATCCAGCCAACTGACGCAGATTTGGGTGGGGGTGAGAACAGGCGAGCTCCAAGGGCTGAGTAGGTACCAGCGCCACCAAGGATGTCTTTGACGGGCGGAGTTGGCGGAATGAAGTCGATATCGTCTTTCCAGTCAAGTTAGTTAGTCTGATCCGAGTAACACAACAGTTTTGTAGACAAGGGCGCTGGCTAAGGTAGGTTAATGAATCTTCTCACCAATTATAAACATGCCCATTGTAACAAAATCGATTGGGACAGCTTCTTCGCCTGACGAGTCGCTGACCTTGCCCTCAATTATGGCCAACGGGGGATGTTTTGGGGGATTATCTGCTTCTGGCCCTGGCTTTGCCTCTGGTTCAGGTGCTGGTTCAGTGCCTGATGCACCTACATCACCGTTTTTGTGTTCATCTGCATCTGCATCTTCAGATTTCGTTTGCTCTATGTCTTTCTCTTCCTCTACAACAACAGCCTCCTTGCTATCAATAGGCAGCCCAATCTCTGGAGTTTCGGCTACATCTGCCATGATGCTCTTGAGATGGATGGTAAGATAATGGCCAGTTGTGTGAAAAGGTGCGAGACAGGCCTTGAACCGGCAAGAAACCCGCTAAAAAAGACACTGGCTATTCAATAAATGAAGGTCTTTTCTGCCGCGGAACTGTACAGTATCGGCTCATAGACTGGTCAGGAATAGAAATATTTAACAGTTGGTGGAGTTTGCGGTCAGGGTGTTGAGTATGAAAGCGAATCGGATCGTGAAAAACAGGGGTCCAGACGCTTGATTTTGCTATACCAGGGTCAGTCTTTTTTTTTGTTTGCTGGGAACTACTGTGACTCAAGTACCTATGTATAAGCTGCGATTCCTTTATAGAATCGTTGTATAGGTAGGTAGGCTAGAGTTGCTGATACGGAAAGAGATGGACTAACTTTCAAGGGAACGGATGAGTGAGCGATTCTAAGCGACTCTGGTTTATTAGGCGGTGTCCGTGGTGGGTTGGGCACATCGGAACTGCTGCCCAGGTTGGTACACGTAAGGAACCTAAGGTTACGTCCAGAAGGTGTCCTCTTTAGGTCGGTCAGTAAGGTTAGTAGCGAACAGAACATATCGTTCGGACCTTATTGTTGTTGATCAAGAATGCACCTCTTGAATTCACTCAAAGGCTCTTTGTGTATCATATCTTGAGTACTTGATACGTGGCTCAATATTTACGGGAGATTTGGAGCTTCTCTTATCCTGGCCAATTCCTCCTCTGGGCTCAGCTCAACCACCACTATGTTCCATATTAGGCAGGCTTATTGTCCACAAATTGTACATACAGTAGCTCCCAGTATCAAGGTCTCGATCAAGGTATTGAGAGAGGCCATTACAGACCTTGCGGAATTCTATTCGCCTAGCATCAATCATTAACTACATAACTTGACCAACCTCGTGTCATCCATGTCGTTGTCAACTTCATAGTAGTATCAAGCCTACCAATAGATGCACCAAAACAAATCCCACCAACGCCAGTCGATCGCCTCGTATTGCCGACTCGTTACAAGATTTAGATCTTGTACACAAGATCTCCCTCCGTGAACCTGAAGTGAATGTTAGTAAGTCAACGCGTGGGTGCTTGCAATAAAGAGACTTACATAATCTGGTTTGCCTCTCCCATTTTCTGGAGCGCCTTTGTAGCCTCTCCTTTATCAAATGCATCGCGGCGGTTCCCAATCTTTTTATTCACTGCTTCCACGACTGCGTCCAGCTCGGCCGCGTCATCTTCAAACAGGTCTGTGTTGAGAAGCTGACCAAGGGCTGTTCGGAAGGCAGTCAGTCGCTCAGATGTGATGGGAGCATCATCAATTGCCAGTGCTGCAGCATCGGTGGCAAGGTCCTCGTCGCCATCCAGCGACTCTAGCTGGTTCGAGGATGGTAGCTGAGAGGCCGGAATTGACGATGCAAATGAAGCCTGCGATTGTGACTGGTCTTGTGTTCGCCGGCTAGATCTTCGCAATGTGCTTTGCGAGTCATCCTCAGGAGCATCAGGTTCTCTGCTGGACCGGGCAGTGTCGCTAGTTTCTCTCGCTTGGAGGCGACTGCTGTTGCGTGTAGCCCTCGAAGTCGACCTGTTTGATTGCGTGGCATTGGCAATGTCACCATCGTCATCTTCATCATCACTTGAACTCTCGTCGCTGGATGATGCAAAGTCAACCGTTTGAGTCTTTCTCCGCTTCTTCCGCGATTCTTCAACAACTTCCTTGAAAAGAGCGAAGCGTAAGATACCCTCTGCAGCAGCCGCATCGCGCTCCTCCACCCTGTTTGACAAGCGGGATTTGGCATGTGCTGTGGCAAGACGAATGATGGTCTCCAAAGTACGGACGGTCAAAGGACTGGTCCTTCGCTGGTTGCCCTCCATCTCGTCGTTCCGTAGACCGACATAGATATCAGCGATGCGATCAGAAGCCTCTTGTGTCAGAATGGGCTTGATTCTCGTCTTCGCATATTGTATGTACTTCTTCATGAATGGGATGCTAAGGATTTCGGGCTTCTTGTTTGAACCGCGACCAGATGTGACTGTGACACCAGAATGTAGCATTGCATCATACTTTTGGTAGACTTCGGTTGGCCCCTGGGACTCAGTTTGGTTTGAAGCTGAGACCCCAAGAGACTGCCCACCTTGCTCACGCACAGGAGCGCCTTCTTCAGTTCCTGGCTGGCGATATCGGTGCATACGAAGGACATGTTCCGATACGTGCCGGTCTCGCGTATCCTCGATGTCATCTGTGACGACAAACAGTAAATCGAAACGTGAGAGCAGAGAGTCAGGCAGTGCGATGTTTTTGTGAGGATCCTTGTGAGGGTCATATTGACCGAAAATAGGGTTAGCAGCAGCAACAACACTACAACGAGCATTCAACGATGTGTGAATACCCGCTTTTGCGATGGTAACAGTCTGCTGTTCCATAACTTCGTGGATCGCAACTCTGTCCACGTCTGACATCTTATCGAATTCATCGATACAAACGACACCGCGGTCAGCCATGACCATGGCACCGGCCTCCAGTCGGCGCTCACCCGTCTCCTTATCAGAAGTTACTGCTGCAGTGAGA